CCATTTTGCACAAGTTATCAAACAAATCCTTGTAGAATTCCAACTCATTTTTCATTCTAAATGACCTGACTTGGTTCCCGGTCAAATTTTCAACCATGGTCTTCCACTCCTTGAACCGCCTAAACCATTCATCTTTGTGATTTTTCTTTAGAAAGTACACCCAAGCCTTCCGTGAGAAATCATCGATAAAAGTCACAAAGTGTTTACATCCACTATAAGACTTCACTGGAGAGGGACCCCATAGATCTGAGTGAACATGCTCGAGGAACTCCTTGTTTGGGTGTTGAAGCAAACTAAACTTCACCCTTCGTTGTATCTCTTGAACATAAGCTTCACCAGGTTTAACATTTCCAGTTGCATCTCCACCAAACAACCCCTTCTTGCTCACATATACCAACTTATAATGCCACAACTTTCTTTCATCATCATACTGATACAAGAATTGGGATACAGTCATCGTCCCCGTAATCGTCCTTCTTTTTAGGATATAAAATCCCATGATTTATCTTCCCCTTCCTAACTACCTTGGAGACTCTTAACCAATCACCATTTCCATAATACTTAAATTCTTCCAAAGCTTCAGGAGGAACCATCAATCAAGTTTCCTGACCATACCATCGTGCATCTTGATCTGCAATGTACTATTTCCATTGATACTACTCACCCAATCATCACCCATCTTGATTGTGTTGTTCCAATCTTTGAAGGAGTTGAACCGGTCACGATTGTATGTCATATGATAGGATGCTCCGGAGTCCAAGACCTAAGCATTAGCAGAATTAGATATACATACTGTCAAAACATCACCATATCTATTTTTTCACAATTTCTTTGAACCACAACATCGTTGTTGTTGCTTGGTCCAACACCATTATTCCCTTCCTTGCAGTTATAACATTTGATTTTGGGCTTTAGATTCGGAACTTGACTTCCCTCTATAACCTCCACCTCTATCAGATGTTCTTCCTCTGCCTACGAACAAAGCGGAACTGGAAACTTCTTCTCCAATGGAAACTCCTTAAGAGGGTTTATATACGTGACTAGAGGAGCTATTGATAAGGTAGTTTCCTTAGATAAGCCCTTATCCCTTTTCTTGCTCCCTAAGAATTCCTAGGCTTCCTTAACGCCCAAGAAAATCTCCTTAACCATATAGAATCCCCCCCCCCCCTCATGGGAGGTTCTATAATTTGTCAATGTTTAACTTTTGAACATCGTCACCTTTAGTCCTTCCATTTTTAATTAATCTAATTAATCCCAAAAAAATCCAATTAATTTATGATTAATTTTTAATTAAACAATAATATTTCTAATTAATATATTATTCTCATAATATATTAATAAATTATTTATTTTCATTTCTAATTAATTTATTAATCATATAATAAATTAATAAATCAACATCTCTCTCCAAAAGGCATTCCAATCAATTATTAGGTTTGAGGGCAACCCAAAAGGACTTTGCTAATAATTCAAGATTATACTAATTTAGTTATTGGCTTAGGAACATAATCCAACAGTCTCCCACTTAGATAAGTCTAAAACTAAATTACTAGGATAACTTCTAAATTAAACAACAAAGGGTGCTTTCCATAGCAACTATCGAACTCTGATCTGATCAGATATTTGTCCTTTAGATAACTGATTAATTATTCCTCAATTCTTCTAGATATCATATGGATATGAGACATGGATTGAAATCAATCCCATTATCCAAAATTATGTTTCCCGATTTCCCGATTTATGACGACTGAATTCAGACTACTAATTGAAACCATCAATTCAATCTGGGCTTGGCCAAGCACTTCAGATGACGACATCAAATCATTGAGGGGCCCAAAGATATCACTGTTCCCATTAGGATAAAAGGAACGAATAATTTTCGACTCATATGCTTGTATCTTTTACTCACCAAATCATGCATGACACTACGTTTATAAAATCACGTTACTGTTGCTTTTACGTAACACGAATGCACAACTGACTTGTAAATTATAACTCATATATCTCCATTTCAAGAATATAAGATATTATCATCTAAGAATTACTCGTGATAGAATCCATGAAGTATTTCTCTAAGCGTGGGTATATTCAATACTCAAAATTTCCATTTTCTAAGTACTCATGAATATTGTAGCAACCGGTGCAATGTATAATCCCCATAGACAATCTACAATTCAATTCATGACAGCCTTAATTCACTACTTACTTCTAAAAGTATGAGCGACTAACGAATTTCGAATAATCAAATCATTCAGGAAGTAAAACATGTAAAATGAAACACAATAATAAACTAATTAACTATGGTCTCAAACCTATTGAAAATAAATAACTATCTATTATTTATTCACCATAATAATTACGACTTTATTCATTGTATAATGTTTTGAGTAATCAACTAACCACTTGAATTAAACATTATTCATGCCTTGTTATGAACATGCATACTATGCCTCTCTATGGTTCTTCCATTGTGAACATATCAACTCGACATAATTCCAATGATGCTCATTTCACAATTCTAAATTCTTATCACTATCCAAGATGTGATGGAATTCCAACTTATCATACATTCATCTCCTGTGATATCAAGATTCTAGATTCTCAAACACTGAGTCTTTGATATTACAGAATATCCCATTGGAACTTTGTTACTAGAAACAATTCCATGGTAATGAAGGTTCTAATTTAAGTACACTCCTTGAACACTTCTCTTGCATTAAAGTTTCCAACTCACATGTAGTCTTTTTCAAGTATCTCACATTATGGAAACATTTCCATATGACCATCAATTTTGATCAAGAACTATCTCAATCCAGAATCATGTCACTATGGTCCATCCAAATTAATATAATACACTTAACCGTCCACAAACAACCAGTATTTTGGTATAACCTTAGAATGTTCTTGACAGTTATTTAACAACTTTAGTCACACAAAATTCTAGTTCATTTCTCTCACAATGCTCTAATCATTTGAAAAATTAGAATAAGTGAATATTATAGCATATGTAATCAATCCTATATCTGAAGCACATGGGACTCAACTCATTATACCTTATATAAGGATCTGATTTCTATTCAATTTCTTGCTATAATATTTCCATATATAGAATTTCCTATGCTGAACCATTTCAACATGATCTTCATATACATCTATGAGTAAGTTCTATTAAACTATACAATCTAAACCTTTATATTCGAAAAGAAGTTTGAGTGTCCTCTCCCTTGAACCTACTAAAGCAAAAAAAATTCCCAAACTTTGCACTTTCCAAATTGAAAACTTTGTTCTCTACGAACATTATTGTCAACATACAATACTAGCAGAACAATTATGTTGCCACTAGCTTTGACATGTATCAAAAAATTAACTGGACTTCTAGAAATAAATACTCTTGACTTTCTTACTGAAGTACAGATTTCTGTTACGCGATGATTCGATAAGTCTCCAACTAGACTTCTTAAGTATATGCACCTTAATTGGATAATGTATGTGTGTGTTTAAACCCTTTCAGAACTAATAGATGTATGTCATGAAAGTTCAAGCAGTTCCTTTGCTATTCTTCACAATTTCAAATATGAAAAGGGATGCCGCAATCATATTATAATTTGAGAATGCAACTAACATACTAAATATCCATATTGATCTTTATCAGATCTTTAAAATCTACCAGCAAAAGTGATTCCTCACAATCGTTTTCATGAATTAGAGCGAATCTTTACCCCATAGATTTCAAGGTGCATATGTTCCCATCTATGTGAATCTGTCATTTGCAACCTACAATCATAAGATAACGTTAAGATAACGTTTAGGGAAAAACCAAATTCAAATTTAGATTTTCTTCATGGATTGAACACAATTTCTTGCCATCTGGTTGCATAAGGGCGTACCCATGCTTCCATGTTGTGAGCAGCTCATCCATATTGATTAATGTCCTTTCACTAACTAACATGTTTTTTGATTTTCTAGTTAAATGAAAAACATAGAACTCATAAGCATTACCGACTTAATTAGAAGTGCACAGAAATAAGAATGTGTCAATTAAACACGATAAGCTATCAACCTCGGGTCGCGTGCTAGTGATAACTAAAATGTTTATTATCGGTTGACTCTTGAAACTCTCAAGATGAATACGAATCCCACTAACTTCTTGACATTCGAGTTTTCTCCGAAGGAACACTCCTTGAAGAGCTAAAACAAATATTCAAAAGTTTGTGTGGATTCCCGACAAGAAAACACTTCATAGAATATGTCTCAGTTTATCCTTTGTTTCTCGATTAACTAGAACATCACAACTCCAATTCTATATGTGCTAGAGAAGAAACAATATCCGACTTGATTGTTCCTCAGCAAAACCTAACTCGAAGCAAACCCTCATTTGCATATTTGTTTCCATCACCGGAGAAGAAACAAAGAGCATGCTGGTGAGGGTTGAGATCAGAGGTGTTCCAAAGAGAGAGAGAGAGAGAGAGAGAGAGAGAGAGAGAGAGGAAATGATGATCGGTGGTGGTGTGTTGTTTATAGGAGGGAGGACTGAAAACATATTTCTTTTTTTTTCTTTTTTGATTAATTTAAATAAAAAATATAACAAAATAAAAAAAATAGAAAATGAAATTAAAAAATGGCAAATCTGTCATTTTAAAAAAAATCAAAGTAATTTGGACCAAACTCACAACAAAATCAAACTTTTGGACCACTGGTGCTAGTCCAAACATTTTTGAATAAAGTAGCAATTTTCGACAAACCACAGGGACCATTTGTGTAGTTTAGTCTACTTTTTAAAGTAATGGGGTAGGGTTGAAGATGAAATACTATTATTACCTTTTTTTTACTTCATTTTTAGAAGAGGAAAACTTTTTTTACTTCATTTTTAGAAGAGGAAAAAATAGAAGTAGTTTGGAGATGGCGTAAGAGATTAAAGGGTAATATCAAAATTTTGTATTAAAAACAAAAGTCGAGTATGAAATATACAGTAGTAAGCATTATAAATTCTCAATAGAATACTAGCTCACATCACCATTAGGCATTTACACTTGATCTTGATACATTTCAAGACTATTCTTTCTAAGTAACTTCAATGAAAATCTATTAGTCTATTTTTTAGATAACAGTTTGATGCCCATATGCTTGATTGATTCGTATGAAAATCAACTTCTCAATATGGATGTTGTTCAACGTTACGAGGTCTCATGGAAGTTAACTGATCTTGACATGGCTGCAGGGTTCGCTCGCAAATTGACCAAAGCTTTCTTGCCAAGTGCAATCTCATCACCTTCTGATCGAAACGCCTGAAAAAGATTAACACAATCAATTTATTTATGTTCCTGTGAATTGTTCGATCATAAAATTAAATATTAAATTATTAATCAATGCTCACTATCTTTCACATGCATTTCAACAAACAACAAATCATGATACTGCAACCAAAACCCCACTAAATCTTAAAATACAAAACCAAAAATACAAAATTATACACAATTGTAATCAACTGTTTTGAAATGGGTTTGTGTTAGAATTGCTTTGAAATACCTTGATGCCTTTGTAAGACCTCCGTTGTTGTTCATCAGTTTGACTGAGAATGTAACTAGATTGAATTGTGCTTCCGAAAAACTTAATCGACGCGTCGTTCACTTCCGACATCACTAACTGTTTATCTATCGACTGAGTTCTCTTTGAAGAATGAATGTATGTATGTGTTGTTTGATTTTTCGTCGTCTTGTAAGCATACATGTGCGACTTTTTGCTCCACTTTTGGTCTAAGCGAGACACGTCAGCACAATTCTCAGCCACAAGTTTTTTTGGAGAGTTCTTGGCCTTGAGTGAGTATTTTTTTAATAAAAAAAATTTCGTGGCTACAATATACTGCAAGGTTTTCGGCCAAATCTCAAGTCTAGAGTTATTTTATAAAGAAAAACTTTTAAATGACTTGAAAAAGAATAAGAGATGTAAGCATATTTTGTGTTTTTCAGTTCTTTCGTTTATAGATTAGTTTTCATTTTAATCTTTTGCTTATTTTAAATATTTTGTTCAGATTAGAAATTAGAAAGATATGAAGTGAAAGAAAACGGATCTATTTCACACATGTGTGGATTTTTTATATTCGTGGATAGGGAACTTTGAGCCACAAGTTTTTTGTGGGTTTCTTGGCCAAGAAAGAGTATATTTATATGTAATTATTCCAAAGTGTTGTCGACGAATGATTTTACTAGTGCCTTCTTTGATTTAGAAAAATATATTATCTTTATTTTAAATTAAAAAATCCGACGAAAAGCTATTACTCGAAATTTTTAACGGTTTGAATTTTTACTAAAGTGAAAGTGAGCATATTAAGTCTTTATATCACCGCACAATCATATTTTTTGAGAACTCGCATTTATACTTAGGGTGTGTTCGGTAAAATTAGCTGGTAGCGGGTAGTTTGTAGCGTTTTGTTAAACGCTACATGAAGTAGCATTTGGATTTATGGCGTTTTGTTTAAACTAAACGCTAGAAGCTTATAGTGTCGAACGAGACTTTCTGTTCAAAACGGAACGTTTTGTCAAACGCTAGAAACTAGAAGTTCTCAAACGCTCACAAACGCTCCGTACCGAACACGCCCTTAATTTAAAAAGTAGGAACTATCAAAAATTATAAGATATAACAAGTAGTTCGTTGAGTTAACTTTATTCCGTAGAAGAAAGCAAATGTGATATCTATAAGTTTTTATTATTGATAGGTCTTCAAAAGCTTTAAGTGGATTAAGAAATGAGCCAAGTCGACATATACATGTCAAGCCTAGTCTAGTCTCTCTTAAGCAATCACAGTTTCTTTCTGTTTTTGAGTATTTGCTTGTGTTTATCGTTTTAATAGTTGTTGACAAACCGATAAATCTATATTAAATTCTGAGGTTTTACTATGTTGCTTACAACCTTAAAAAATGAAGTAAAAACCTTTAAGAACAAGAGACGGATCCATACAGTTTTCTACAAACAATATCAACTATCTTCAGGTCGTTTAAATTTATTGTTTTATCTTTAAATTCGTCAAACAACATGACAGTCTACTTCTAATCTTTTCTTAAAATCAGCTCTGACCGTGAAGGATCATTCTGATTTATAGGGGAAACTTGGTAACAATATTAATAATAATTGAAGTTATTATCTGCAACATCTCAACGTTTAATCTTTAATATTAAGTGTTAGATGTTTACTTGTGTAAAAGTTTTTTTGGATATTTAATCATAAATATTATCAATTTACTCAGTTGTTTGTCAATACTAAATAGTTTATAATTGCTTCATAAAATTAACTATCAGATGGTTTCAATATTAAGTCTGAATTTCAACAATCTTAGAGGTTTTTAATTATAATTTTCAGAGTTACAGACATCAAAATCTCATATACTAGTTTCTGAATCATGAACAATGAGTTTGCTAAACTTGATTGATTCGATAGTTAGAACTACTCATGTTAGGCCAACAAGGTCGACTTCATGCTTCATGTGCTGAAACTTACCTACATTTTGGACCATAACTTGACCCCAATCCATACTATACAATTTACTAGGAGATGAGATTTTGATGTCTATAAGTCTGAAAATTATAATTAAAAACCTTTAAGATTGTTGAAATTCGGACTTAATATTGAAACCATCTTATAGTTAATATTATGAAGCAATTATGAACTATTTAATATTGACAAACAACTGTGTAAATTGATAATATTTATGATTAAATATTCAAAAAAATCTTTTACATAAGTAAACATCTAACACTTAATATTAAAGATTAAACGTTTAGATGTTGCAGATAATAACTTCAATTATTATTAATATTGTTACCAAGTTTCCTATATAAATCAGAATGATCCTTCACGGTCAGAGCTGATTTTAAGAAAAGATTAGAAGTAGACTGTCATGTTGTTTGACGAATTTAAAGATAAAACAATAAATTTACTAGTTTCTGACTCATGAATAATTCTAGAGAAGGAAAGATGGTGGACCCTAAAGTCATTTCTGATTTGGAAAAGCAAAGGGCACTGCATAGAGAGTCTGATGAACTATGTGTAAGCCACATCATGTGTGAATGCTAAAGGGGTGCACGGACAAGGTTTGAGAACTCAAACCTTGTGTTAACTTAAGATCAATGTCCGCTAATAATAAAGATCCAGTCAAGTCTGGTGAACCAGTCTTGTATCGGAATTAAGATAATCAACAAAGTGCTCAAAAGTATAAAATGATTAAGTATGAACAATTTAGAGTAATTCAAGAATAAGAAGAATGTAAGAGAGAATGATTAACTAAATAATTCTTGATAGATTTGAAAAAGGTGCTTGTTCCACACATGATGCATATGTGACTACTCCTTAGATAGTCAAGGAGTAACTACAAGACAAATAAGAAAAAGTAAGCTTGGACTGCTAGACTTCTGAAGATCAACAGACCGACACCACCGTTATTGTTGATATTATCTCATGTACTATACAATAAGATAATGGGAACATAACAAAATAGTACTTGTAACAATTAATGCACATTACAGACTCAAAAACACTTTAACACTAAGATGCATCTCGAATTGACTATGAATTCAGAATTATCTTCACTTCGGAAATCATCACCTTGGATTGCTTCACCTCGAATTGCTTAAGGATCACTTTTCATGTTATAACAATCTCCCCCTAAGTGACCATAGCAATCATCGAATTCATCACTTACCTTCATCAAACACAAACAAGAAAGCACTCTGGAGCCAGCTCCAGACTTCAATGTACCATTGGAGATGCTCAATAAATTTCTTTTTGATATGCTCGGAAGAGTCACTCTTGGTGGCATTTGAAATGAACTTCTGAAGAATCTTGGTGGGAACGAGGTGTTTGTCAAGTACTCTGAAATTTTTTTTGATTACTCTTCTATTTGAAGTAGACATAACCAAGTTCTGGTTCTTCAATTGGACCTTCAGCTAAGATCTGGGCTTCAGGAAGTTTAGTAGTGATTTTGGCCATAAAGTTTTCAGTTCCGAAAAGATGAGCAAACTCTATATTGGATCTACAGAATTCAACAATGTAGTCCTTGAGAAATTTGATCGTGGAGTTGTAAGCTCCAACTCTTGATTCATTTGTTTGGCGATCTCGGAGATGAGCAACTATAATGAGAATGTCGTTTGGATTCATCGAGGGAAAGACTGCATCAGTGATGGTGATAGTGGATTCCTTGTTCCGAGAAATGATGTATTTGTATTGCATACAGTCAAGATCAAATTTGATTTGGACCATTCTACCATGACCAACAATCTTGGCAATTCTCTTCCGAGACCACACTTCCTTTTGGGGTCGTGCGTTGGAAGAATAGAAGGTTCTCAATCTCTCACGCTCAGTTCAGATAATGATTTGTGGATCATCAGATGGATAAAAGGGTGATAATTTTATGAGAATTGTATACTTAAGATTTATTAATATATTAAGTGTTAGATGTTTACTTGTGTAAAAGTTTTTTTTGGATATTTAATCATAAATATTATCAATTTACTCAGTTGTTTGTCAATACTAAATAGTTTATAATTGCTTCATAAAATTAACTATCAGATGGTTTCAATATTAAGTCTGAATTTCAACAATCTTAGAGGTTTTTAATTATAATTTTCAGAGTTACAGACATCAAAATCTCATCTACTAGTTTCAGAATCATGAACAATGAGTTTGCTAAACTTGATTGATTCGATAGTTAGAACTACTCATGTTAGGCCGACAAGGTCGACTTCATGCTTCATGTGCTGAAACTTACCTACATTTTGGACCATAACTTGACCCCAATCCATACTATACAATTTACTAGGAGATGAGATTTTGATGTCTATAAGTCTGAAAATTATAATTAAAAACCTTTAAGATTGTTGAAATTCGGACTTAATATTGAAACCATCTTATAGTTAATATTATGAAGCAATTATGAACTATTTAATATTGACAAACAACTGTGTAAATTGATAATATTTATGATTAAATATTCAAAAAAATCTTTTACATAAGTAAACATCTAACACTTAATATTAAAGATTAAACGTTTAGATGTTGCAGATAATAACTTCAATTATTATTAATATTGTTACCAAGTTTCCTATATAAATCAGAATGATCCTTCACGGTCAGAGCTGATTTTAAGAAAAGATTAGAAGTAGACTGTCATGTTGTTTGACGAATTTAAAGATAAAACAATAAATTTACTAGTTTCTGACTCATGAATAATTCTAGAGAAGGAAAGATGGTGGACCCTAAAGTCATTTCTGATTTGGAAAAGCAAAGGGCACTGCATAGAGAGTCTGATGAACTATGTGTAAGCCACATCATGTGTGAATGCTAAAGGGGTGCACGGACAAGGTTTGAGAACTCAAACCTTGTGTTAACTTAAGATCAATGTCCGCTAATAATAAAGATCCAGTCAAGTCTGGTGAACCAGTCTTGTATCGGAATTAAGATAATCAACAAAGTGCTCAAAAGTATAAAATGATTAAGTATGAACAATTTAGAGTAATTCAAGAATAAGAAGAATGTAAGAGAGAATGATTAACTAAATAATTCTTGATAGATTTGAAAAAGGTGCTTGTTCCACACATGATGCATATGTGACTACTCCTTAGATAGTCAAGGAGTAACTACAAGACAAATAAGAAAAAGTAAGCTTGGACTGCTAGACTTCTGAAGATCAACAGACCGACACCACCGTTATTGTTGATATTATCTCATGTACTATACAAT